AATCAATGAGTATTTATAAACTATGAAATCCATGACCTTTTATAAACTATAAAATTCATGACCTTTTATAAACTAGTGGAGTCGTTCCATCAGAGACAGTTTCTAAAGGAATTAAGAAAACCCATGATTTTTTGTAAATATTAATCAACAAGTTTTTGTAAAAATATAAAATCAATGAGGTTTTTTTTAAAATATATAATCAATGAGTTTTTGTAAATATAAGACAAAAAGTTTTTTTGTAAAATATATAGCCAATCAGTTTTTGTGAGGATAAAAAAAAAAAAGTTTTTGTGAAGATAAAAAAAAAAGTTTTTGCGAAGAAGAAAAAAAGATTTTTTTGTAAATATATATAAAAAAAGATTTCTTTGTAAATATATATAAAAAACGATTGTTTTGTAAATATATATATAAAAAAGATTCTTTTGTATATACCGGTATATATAAAAGAAATTTTTTGTAAATATATAAAAAAGGAGTTTTTTGTAAATATATAAAAAAGGAGTTTTTTGTAAATATATAAAAAAGGAGTTTTTTGTAAATACATAAAAAAAGGTTTTTTGTTATAAACTCTAGGAGTTTTTATCAAATATAAAATCAATGTGTCAATATATTTTAACATTTTGAATGTAACGGACCATTAATTTTGTAGGGCTTACCTGAAAGGTGTTATAAAAACATTTACACATAACTCAATTAGGAAGCTACCTGTAATTAATGCTAATTAAAAGGTGTAATGACAGTAATGAAATGTTAATTATAAAATGGCTTCTTTGATGTACACGTGTGATATATTCCAATCCAGTAATATGCTGTCTCAATGTTTAAGTTATATTACATAATTTTGACAGGTTGGTTTTAGAGAGAGAAATACATGTAGAAAGAGAGAGAGAGAAATGGGGTTTAACGTCCACTCGACACAAACTAGGTCATTTCGGGACTAACATATGGTTCAATTTTATTTCAATAATTCGCTTGTGCGTAGGGGTCTTTAGCAGTGGGAGGAAACCGGAGAACCCGGAGAAAAGCCACGAGGTTGGACAGGGTTGGTTTTAGTCTCAGGGCTATAAGGGTTTCATTATAGAATTATTAAAACATTGGTACATCAAGAAATTTAAATGCTTAATATATCTCAGTGATGGTTTAGGTGATAATTCAAATTTCAACAAGCCCTACAAACTATCGTCAAATCGAACATATCATTAACGATCAACAAAGATTTAAGGCCTCTTTTATTTTTTACTAACCAACAAGCCCACAAAAAATAGTTCTGACCCCTTTAAAATCAACAAGCCTGACGTAACTATCGTCAAATTGAAATTATCTTTTTTTTTTACTAACCAACAAGCCCACAAAAACGAGTTAAGACCTCTTCAATTTGTTTTAAAACTTCAGGTTTAAACTTATTGAAAATCAAATCCTTTACATATCATGAGATGAATTAAATATCATATTTATATCAGACTTTTGGGGGGGGGGGGAGGGTTGGGGGGCCCGAATGGTTAGTGTGTGCACTGTATCATAAGGTCTGTCATTGAGTCAAATGACTTGGTTTCAATTCCCTGGTTGTACGTGACAAGGAGTAGGGTCGCCTGTCCAACCTTGTAGGTTTTCTCCCACTGCTAAAGATCCCTACGCACAAACAAATTATTGAAATTAAATCAAACCATATGTTAGTCCCAAAATCACCTGGTTTGTGTCGAGTGGCCGTGAAACCTATCTCTCTCTCTCTCTCTCTCTCTCTCTCTCTCTCTCTCTCTCTCCCTCCCTCCCTCCCTCCCTCTCCCTCTCTCCCTCAATCTCTCCTGACTGTTAAATATGGAAACTGAATATTTCAGATAGAAAATAATATAACAACAATAATAAGATGAATACATGACATATATTATGATGTTTATAGACTACAATAAGTAGACTAATGGTTTGTGACATATGACAGTATGAATGATGGATGGACATCAAGTCAATAACTGTAAACAATAAACAAACCATCCTACTAAATGATTGAGTTTTCTTGTTAATACTGTAACCAATGAAATACCAGAACTATATAATCACAAGGAAAACATGGCTACTGTTGGCAACAAGATGGATAAAATAAAGGTGAGTGACCGATGGAAAGGTTCACAAGGAAAAGGAGATATACATAGAGAGAGAAATGGGGTTTAACGTCCACTCGACAAAAACTAGATCATTTCGGGACTAACATATGGTTCAATTTTATTTCAATAATTGGCATGCGTGTCGGGGTCTTAAGCAGTGGGAGGAAACAGGAGGACCTAGAGAAAACCCACGAGGTTGGACTGGCAACCCTACTCCTTGTCATGTACAACCGGGGAATCGAAACCACGGCAAGTTGACTCAATAACAGACCTTATGATACAGAGCGCATCTGCTAACCATTCGGCCATTCAACCCCCCAGAAGGAAAAGGACACAAGATTTTCTGTCTATACTTCAAATATTATGTCCACAGTTAGTGTCAGTGTTGAGATGTTACTAATTTTATTTTCAGAAAATGAAAGTTTTAAGCCAAAACTGAAACTAAAACAAGTAAACAAACTGACTTCCTTTAATATTCTGAACCCCAAAATTTAAATGTACAGAATTCACTAATGGATATATCATAATATTCGGACATACATAAAACAGCCAATAACTCTATGTGCATATCATCAACCTTCTTTTACTCCAAATTAACACAACTCTGAATTTCAATACGGTTCCTCACTTGGATTAAATAAACAATCTTATTCAGGCTTTAAAAAAAAACGTAAAATGTTTCAGTTAAAAGGGCAGTAAGGCAAAAATTTAACCTATGACTCTGTATTTTGATAGGGTTGCTCTTTAGGACTAACCAAACACGCCCAGGAACAAAATAATCAAAAACTGTCTCTTGTAGAGTATTTTCAAGGTTTTAGTGACTTTGGTGGCCAATTTAATTATATTTGATAATCTTCTATTGTAATAATATTATGGCTTTGACTAATTATTGTTTATAGATTCATACACACGCAAAACAACAGGTGAAACAACGGAAATCTGTCATATTAATATGATACATGAATTGAACTAAAGGTATAATAAACAAATGGTCAGGAATGCAATGTATCTGTTGATCAAATTTAGTAATACATGTACATGTAAGTCCCTCCCAGAGTGCAAGGTATGGAGTATTTTTATTCCATATTTAGAATCTGGGACTGTGGTCAGTCTATGACGTAAACCAATTGGGGTGTGGGTGCTATGAAACAGAGTGGGGGGATAGCATTGGGCAGAACTCACACTGCCTGTCATATATCAGCCATTTACTTATTTGAGAACGAGGAAGATTTGTGACTAACACTACGAGTTTTATGCAATAAAAGATAGAAACTGAACATGAACTGTATTTATATTTTTAGTCACGGAATTGAAGGCAACGTGAACATTAAAGATCCAAAAGTGCAGCAGTATTGATATTGACTTATTTGTCTGTTCAACATAAGGCCAAATAAATCTGTCATGTAATGAAGACGGGCATACGCCATAGAGTGTGCTATGAGGGAAATTTTGACCGGACAGCAATGCTATGGCCTACTCTTATATCGAATTCCAACTACCAATGGATCTTTAGCGTGCACGCCAATGTGTAAACGGGACCTCGGTATTTTGTCCCATCCATACGACTATACGTGGTCCCTTGTTAGGCCCTCAGTCATGCGCCACTGACAAGGAGGAACCACGCCAGAGAATTCTGATGAACTTTCTTGGTCACATGCAGGGATTGAAGCTGTGACCTCCAGGTTAGCGAGCCAACGTCCTACTCACTGAGTCATCGTGGCTCCCTGTCATGTAATGGTGTATAATCTGTCAATTGTTTTCATTGAGAAGAAATATGTCTAAAAATGAGACCTGGCCAGACCTGGCCTCAATTAACAATTTCTGCCAAGTTTTGTAAATATTCATGGGTAGATTCAGAAGGATAACAGAGCTAAAAGATTGGTTACTCTGATATATACTACGGTGGATAGTTACATATTTAATGATATACTACTTTAGATCAAGACATTGCAATGAAGAATTTGGAAATACATTTACAAGTAAGTTGGAGCAGGGCAAAGAGACAAGAATAGAGTCAACAGTGGTCTGAAATTGTAAGAGTTATGCCCCTTTAGTCTTCAAAGGTTTAAAAACAAAAGAATATTTGTGACTGTTCTAATATTTTTCATTTTACAAATGTACATTAATAGGTATATTAATTTTACTGATTAAAAGGCTCCCAGAATTTAAATGAAACATTTTTTAAGTTTATTGTATAAGTTAAGTGTTTAGGAATATCTGAAGAGTTATGTCCCTTTAGTATTCAGACAGGAGAACCATGTTTTTCATGTTTGTATGACACAATAACAAAAACAGTGAACTCTTTGTCACTATAATACCCAAATGGAACATTCATAGCCTACAGCAGATCTGTTAATCTTGACATTCCTTTAATATCTTTTACCATAAATGACTTCAATTCAATCTGATTAAAACACAGATCGTTTTTTATAGTTCAAAATTTTGTTTTACTTGTCTTTACTACACTAGGATCTGGAAGAGTTGTTGTATAACCCACGTTCTGGGTGATGTGAGGGATTAGCCAATGAAGCGGTCTGCGAGTTTTTGGCGTGAGGTACATAGAACTGTGGGTAACCCACTAGAAACATCAATGCTGATTGGGTAACATCATAGGGTCTTTACCAGTAGGAGGAAACCAGAGGACCCAGAGAAAACCCACAAGATTGGACAGGCGACCCTACTCATTGTCACTTACAACCGGGGAATCGAAACCCTGCCAGTTGACTCAATGACAGACTTTATGATACAAAAAGCACATGCTATCCAGTCGGCCATGACCCTACTCCCCCAACATGATTGGCAGTTCTGCTGTATTATGTTTTAAGGTCTGATTTATAGAATGAACTCACTATTCACTTTTAAAACACAAAACAAAAGATGAAACAACATCATCGTACTTACCTAATGAGCATCCAGGTCTTGATGCTAATAGACAATTATTCCATATCACTCCGCTTTCAATAATTCCTGGTTGATTAAAGTTTACTCCGGGTCCCTGATAAATACACCCGACAAAATCCTTCCCCACCTCTAATTGACCGCTATTTAATTCATTTGAAAATAAATACTGATGTAATGATGACGTCATACTCGCTACAACACGATTATACAACAACGTCTGACCCCGAGCTACCGTTAAATTCACGTTACCGAGATAAAAACGTAAACCCACGATATACCACATATTATTATTGAATACTCCCATAACACGAAATGTTGCTGTATTGTTCGCAACATTCCACGATAGCACTATAGATCCATTATCCAGTCTTAGATTGATGAATTCCGTGTTAACTTGTTGCGATAATAGTCCTCCGTTTGGGGAGCAAGTACGGAATGATAATTGAGTAAATGAACGTAAACTCCACGTATCTGGCAGGATAAGTTGTGATGTATGATTAAAATAAGCTATATTTTTAGTTGAAGTAGTGGTAGTGGTTAATGATGCTGCATTTTGTAGAATGTGTAGAAAAAACACCACACCTGAAAAAAAAAAAAATAGCATTTTATTACTTTGAGAGAAATCAAAGTAGCTAAGTCTCTAACGCAATATCATCCAAAGTCTACGTCAATCTATTAAAATACAGATCTATCTTTTGTTTCGTTTATTTATACTTTCGATGGCCTACACTACATGGAGATCTGACAAGTTGTACTGGAAGGTCGTGTCAGGGATCATACGAGTGGCTTTTGACTCTATGACGTCAGACATTGATTAATCAATCAGCGTTGATGTTTCTAGTGGTTTACCCACAGTTCCATGTAAAGCATGCCAAGAAGTACATGTAGCCGTAACAGATTGTTTCATTGGCTAATCCCTCACACCATCCAGAGAGCAGGTTGTATAACAGCACTTCCAGATCCTAGTGTAGTACAGACCAGTAAAACGAAATTTTGATATAAAAAACGAAACGAAATAGGATCTGTGTTTTAATCAAATTGATGTATTCGACATTGAAAACACAAATTATTTGTCAATTTAAATCAACATTGATGCTGTGATCTTACTGGGAAAAGATGGGCTTCTCATATCCAATATGTAACAAGGGACTCAAAGAACGGGGCTAGACATATTTTACAAGTCATGTCAAATGGTGACCACATATTCTTATCTGGAGAGCATGCACAATAAATAATATCAATGTAGACTGGAATAACCAGTCTCTACAGGTTGCCATTCGATTGAGACTTCTGGCGTACAGTATTTCGCTGAACATACCTGATTTGAAATTAGAGTAAAAACAGAAACGATTGAATGTAAATCATTTTATATTCATATTACATTATTATATGCGTTGCGACATATTTGTGTCAATTTCTAACCCTAACCCTTGTGTCAATTTCTAGGTCCCAAATATTAGATCATAAGGCCTGTCATTGAGTCAACTGGCGTGGTTTCGAATCCCTGGGTGTACATGACAAGGATTAGGGTCGCCTACCCAACCTCGTGGGTTTTCTCCGGGTCCTCCGGTTCCTCCCACTGCTAACTGCTAAAGACCCCTACGTGCAAGCAAATTATTGAAATAAAATTAACCATCTCTCTCTCTCTCTCTCCCTCAAATATTAGCGATTTAGTTCCTTTAAATGTGATTAACGTACATGTACCACATGTACTTCTCATCATCAGCTTTAAGGGATATATTCCTAGACAATTCCCTTATTTCAAATTCCAGTTGTGAGGGGTTTCTTTAACGTCCACGCCATGGAGTGTTTAACATCCTACTGTTCTGCTCCGACTGGACTAATGAAGACGGGTATACGCCATACAGTGTGCTATGAGAAAAATTTTGCACGGACAGTGGTACTATGGCCTACTCTTATATTGAATTCCAATGGTCAGAGGTTCTTTTATGTACACGCTAATGTGGACACAGAACCTCAGTTTTTTTTTGTCCCATCCGAACAACTGGACACTAATGTTTGACAATTTGCTATTGAAGACACAGAGATCATTTATATTGAATAAAATCATTTATGTATAATAAATCAGTAATTGTATTTCTTATCAATTGGCAGGATGGAGGACGAAGGGCCTGACAAGGAGAGCTGTCTAGTCATTCGGATGGAACAAAAAATCGAGGTCCCGTGTACACATTGGTGTGCACGTAAAAGATCCATTGACAGTTGGAATTCAATATAAGAGTAGGCCGTAGTGCCGCTGTCTGGGCAAAATTTCTCTCATAGCACACTGTATGGCGTATGCCCGTCTTCAGTTAGCCCAGATCGAAGCAGAACAGTAGGACGTTAAACCTCATTTCATTTCATTTCATTTCCTTATCAATTGTCTTTATGTCTATAACATTTTATGGTCAATGACAAATCAACACAAAAGTTTGGGGATTTTGTAACTGAACACCATGACATTATTCAGATAGTGTTAACATGATCCCTCAGCCCGTAGAAGATATCGTTATCGTATCGTTAAAGCTCAAAGATGCCAAAATACAGGTGAAATAAACGAGTTAAGAGCACATACAATTGCCATAATATTTATAAAGCAGTGGCCGAATCGTTCAGCTGAATCAATCGGTGTTGGAATTCGCCCAGTGTGTCCACTGTCATTCGGCCGAATGATTAGCCCAAATCAAACATGTTTGAAAATTTGGCCAAATTATATTCGCCTTGTGTGTCTGCTTCGTCAAAGCATTCACTCATTAGCCAATCACCACTCATCATCCAATCATACCGAGAAGTCATGTGATTGTTTGAAGACATGGTCGCCGATTGATTTGGTCGAAACGCCGATTCGGCTAATGTGTCCATCGCTTCAGCCCTTTCGGTGCAGATGTTATATAACCCCCATTACTTTTCATTTCATATACAATCAAAAATATATTTATTAAAAACATATTGATCCAAAAAATAATTAAAATTGATTAATTACAACTTTATTTAAGGCCATTTGAAGTTTACATTGATTTCTGCTAATTTCACACTGACATTCTTATGTGTCTTAATAATATATAATTCACTGATTGATTAATGCACAAGAAGAATATACAATTCAATTGTGTAACCCAGAAACATAAAATAGTGTAGTTTTAATTAATGGTATCTGTATCTTTAAATCATAATAATGCTTTATTACACAACTGCATAGTATATACACAAGTATTTATTAACAGGATGAAATAGGACTGAGAAATGGTGTCAAGAGTCAACTTTGTCAAAATTCCATTCTCCACAAATATTTACCTATATAATTGAGCTCTAGTGAGTACAAATAGGGTCTACTTATAAATGGCGACCCCTTACAATAGGGTCAATATACTCTCCTTGTCTCAAGAGCATTCTTCCAGGTAATTTCACAACCTTTCTTCATTACCATTCAGGTTGTCTAATCATCTATTGTGTTATCTATTACATAATTTATATATAACACCTTCATTAAACAGAGGTTAAAGGTCATTCACATCAAAGGTCATTCACATCAAAGGTTAAGGTCAGGTTAAAACGTATAAATCTGTAATACTATATACAAGAAATTAAGCCTTTTAAAATTAATGCGATCAGAAGTAGGTTACATTAAACTTGTTTATTTATTTATTTATTTCCTGTTTTAAGGGTTTTTTTTACGGAATCATCATTATACCGTAGTGTAGCAGGTGTTGTAAATTTATTTGGTTCATTCATTAAATTTTTGACAAGACAATGTTACACATGTAACATGATATAGCAGGCATGTGGTAACCCTGTCCGCGCCCCTCCTTCACGCCAAACACATTATTTATAAGTGTGTGCGGGGGGAAGGTGGGGGGGGGGCACGGGAGTAATATTGGGCTGTGTGGAACATGCTAGAGTCGATTTGTAGCATAACTGATCCACAGTATATGTTTGACACTGGTTGCATTATGATTATGTTGACAACCATGTTGAAACTGTGTGATTTTTTGCTATTTGCGAGGTGCGGCAAAAACTAAAGGGGGTGCAAAAACTCATCATTGCGTCCCTCTCACTTAGCCCCTGAGTAGACATGGCAAAATTAAAACAGAATGGGTCATTCTAATTTTACTGGTGCTGTACAAGTTTACTGGAAAGGCAAGTTCACATGGAGGAAAGAGAGAGAGAGAAATGGGGTTTAACGTCCACTCGACACAAACTAGGTCATTTCGGGACTAACATATGGTTTTAATTTTATTTACATAATTCGCTTGCGCGTAGGGGTCTTTAGCAGTGGGAGGAAACCGGAGGACCCGGAGAAAACCCACGAGGTTGGACAGGCGACCCTACTCCTTGCCACGTACAACCGGGGATTCGAAACCACGCCAGTCGACTCAAAGACAGACTTTATGATACAGCGCGCGCACGCTAACCATTCAGCCATCCAACCCCCCTCGCATGGAGGTGGGTGTAAGTACATGTATCTCCCATAGAGCCACAGTGGTCTAGTAAGACTCGCATTGGCTTACTAATAAGTGTTGACTTGGAAAGTCGCTTGGCATTTCACAGCCTGGATTCCCTTGGTCAATTTTGCAGTACAGAGAGTCTGGCAAGGAAATAGCATTGAGTCATTCGGATGGGACAAATGGTGTGCTTGTATAAGAACCCTATTCAATGAATAATAAACACTGGGTAATAATGATCGATTTTCTTCACAGCACACTGCATGTTATACATCCATCTTCATTATCTCAGTTGTTGCTGTTTTTATAGGTTGTTCCAAATTTAATGTTTTAAAAACCTGTAATCACCTGTGTAATGATAAAAAGCCAGAGATGACAATAACATACATGTATAGCTATGCATACATGTACATGTTAATATTTGGGGACAAAAGATTGACACATTAAAATATTCAAATTCATATCTTTAAGAAAGATAAAACCACACCTACACCTTAATGATTTTGTCCCTAAGGAAGTGAAATGAAAAGGAGTTTAACGTCCTACTGTTCTGCTCCGACAGGGCTAATGAAGACCGGCATACGCCATACAGTGTGCTATAAGGGAAATTTTGCCCGGGTAGCGGCACTATGGTCTACTCTTATACTGAATTCCAACAACCAAGGGAACTTTTACATGTACGCCAATGTATACACAGGACCTTGGTTTATCGTATCATCCGAAAGACTAGATAGCTGTCCTTGTAAGGCCCTTCATCCTGCACCACTGACAAGAGGCAACCACGTCGGAATATCCTGATGAACTTTCTCGGCCAATGCAGGGATCGAACACCAGACCTCCAGGCTAGCCAGCCAGCATCTTACCCACTTAGCCACCGTGGCTAAGGAAGATAAAAGCACATGTAATCCTTAATGATATGGTCCCTTTAAAGATAAAACCACACCTAAACTATAATGATTTGGTCCCTTTAAGGTGAAAGGTGAAGATATATAAGAGTATTAGTATGTGTGAAAATCAAACAAGGTATAAGACTTATAGAGTGTATAATAGTTGACATTAACGATTTATACCCCATGTAACAAGACGTAGTATAAACCATGTTGACATAACTTTACATTCACAAGTAACCTATAACATTTT